GGACAAGCTCTCCTGGCACAAGCCCAGAGGCAGGGGTAGGAAGCAGATGCCAGACGAAGGAGGGGAAACGTGGAGACCCCAGTGGCAGCAGAAGTAGCATGGGGAGAGTGACAGCCAGGTGGAAGCCCAAGGGTCATAAACAAACCACTTGTAGGTAACATGCAGCCCACCAGTTGAAAATTGGATGGCCTTGATCTAGTTCTTGCAGTTTCAGGTCTTTCTCTTTACTGCTTCTTTTAAACATTCGTTTTATAAGCTTAATTATCAATTCAACTGCAAGTGCTTTGGGGCAGGAATCATCTTTTTGTTGTCTGTACAGTTTTTCCTTGAATGGAGACCTGGGTTTGGGGGATCATTTGTTTTTTTTAAGGATAATTCACTTCCCCTTTTGTTTAGGAAAAACTCACAAATCTTATCAGAAACTGACTAGCCACTACATCCTACAGACTTAAAGAATGGGGGCCAACATGAGATTGGGAGGTTTGTCCAGGTTGTTTCAGTTGTAGAACCTATCCCATACTGTAAAAGGTAAATAAAAGTATTAAATGCACACAAAATAAAACTGGAAAAACTAGTTAGAAACCCTATCTCTAGGCTTAGATATTATTTGTAACCCATGTGGTAAATAACTTCTTTTAGAAAAGAAAATCACTTTCCTAAATTTACTATGTCCCTTTAAGTATTTATTTTATACCTATTTGCAAGCCTTAAGACAGTGGTTCTCAACCTTATTAAACTCAAAGCACCCTTTTATAGACTCATGGCCTCCCACAAAAATGCCAGTCCTTTTCATTTTCCTTTTTGATTACAGAAAAATAGGAGAGCAATTCTTTTGTTTCAAAGATCCTGAAAATACCACAACAGGTCAAAATTGTTTTAACACTATGGATTCCTTTTTAAAATCTCTGGGCATTTTTGCACTTGCTCCAGAGGTGCGCACTTTAATTACAGCAGCTCTGAGAGCCACTCTAATTAAAAGGCCGCAGTCTCATGTCATGATGTCTCATGTATCAGTGGCCCTGTGCCTTAAAATGGTGGCAGGGGCACTTTAACTAGCTTGTTCAACAAGCTTTTGTTGAAGCGCAGGGATGCTGATACAAGAGACACAGAGGATGGCTAGTTAGCATGATGATTAGCATGCTTCAGCATCTAATCGTCTGCTCCAACACACTGTCAGAGACTCCCAGCACATCTACAGGCACCCAATGGGTTTAACTTGTAAATCATATTTCCACATCTAACAATGTTACAATCTAACATCTAACATTATGTTGCACTCCATGGCACCCTTGAAAGGATCTCAAGGTACCACGGGGAATCACATTGCCTTAAGACAACAGGGTTTACTAGTATGCTAGTGAAAGCAAATGGAAGATGACCAGACACAGAAGCAAAATTTACTCTTTTTTCAGTGTCTAGGCTAAAGGATGTTCTAGAAAAGAGAGAGCATAAATGATGAAAAGTAAATTAAGGTAGAACACTGTTATTATAAGTCTACCTTTTCTTCTACATAAAAAAAAAAAAAAAAAAAAAAAAAATCACACTCAACTTATATAGCAAGTGCTTATAATCAGATTGTGGCAGAACTGGACTTTTCTGTCTTCAGTCACTAGCTACTGAGCATGGGAGTTGGGGATATAGCCTCTGAATTAGAACTTCCTAGACTTTAAATGCTGGAGGCTGCAAGTGAGAGAGGAACAGTGGAAAAAAAACAACCCTGGTCAAACTCAGTTCACTCTCCCTTTCAGCATCCACTCAGCCACTGCATGACACAGGCCTATTTGTTGCCTAAGGAATGCGAGCCAATGGCCACAAGGAAACACTATAAGCCTTCCTTAGAAAGGGAGGTCACTATATAGACAACAACTGACTGCTTGGGACAACTAAAAACATAACAGGGATGGGAGTGAAGGCCAAAGGTGGAGTTTTAGGGAGTTTCAGGCCCTGCTTGGCCAAGCAGGGACACCAAGCAGGGCCCACCAGACACTGTGACAGACTTATTTGTCACCTTGAGGGGTGTGGATCTATAAGCCCCCTTTAGTACTGGGGGCCACTAATAACATATTATAAATTACTTGGGACAAATAATAATGAAAACAGGGACAGGAGTGGAGGTCAAAGGGTAATAACCAGCAGAGCACACTGGACCCTATATGATATAGGCCTATTTGTCACCTTGAGGGGCATGGGCCTAGGCCCATCAAATAACTTATTGGCCTCCCTCAGACGGGGAGCCTACAAAAAAAGCTGACAACTGATTACCGGGGCCAAATAATAAACAAACAGGGACAGGAGTGCTGGTCAATGGTTAATAACCAGTGTGCCAAGGGGAGACACCGAGCAGAGCACACCAGGCACTCTGTAACAGGATAGTGGGCAAGAGGGACCTACGGTCTAATCCAGTAACTGACAATTCTTATGTCATTATGAAATACTTTTGCAGTGTAGGTTTTGTTTTAGTATTTTAGTGCACTTACCATATTCAACTGAATCTAAGATGAGGTTTTATTCTCCATTTAACATGGGCAGAGCCTCATGTTGGAATTGAGTGCCAGGGCTACAGCCAGAGCTGCTACTGCTGCTGCTACCTGAACAGGGCCAGGGTGGCTTGTAGAGCAAGGATGGGGAGACACACCAGGGGAGACCATGTGATGTGAGGCAGAGAGAACTGGGAAGACTACGCATGCAGGAAGAACAAGAGGGAGATGCTGTAGTGCAGGATGGCGGGAGCACAGGGGAGTCTGCAGAGCAGCAAGGGAGTTTTTCCTGCTGCAGCTCTCCAGCCCTGACCCGGCAAGGGACATAGTTGGGGTTGCACTGCTATCTAGCCAGGGCTGGAGCCAGAGCTGCGCTGGGCAAGCAGCAGTGGGGGGAGCAGGTGGCAGAGGCATAGGAGCTGGGGGGTAAGGTGGCAGGGTGGCAAGTAGCAAGGCGCACAGGCAGCAGGAAGGCAGAGGCACTGGTGGGAGGGGGGTAGGGGTGCAAGTGACAGGTGGACTAGTGGGGGCACAAGGGGTAGAGGTCAGTTGCCTGCCCCCAACCTCCTTCCCTGCCACTGCTTTCCATGCCACAGCAGCAGGGTGACAAATTTAAGACAACTCCCACCCACATAATTAGATTCAATACATGGAAAATTACATATTTTCCATGTACAAAATGTAATGGGGGGGGGGGGGGAAGGGTATCATCTTACATTTGAAGTCACCTCAGATTCAGGTAAACATAGCAATCTTTTGGGTCTTTCCCTTGGTTATTTTTGTGGGATTTTGTAAGGGCAACAGGAATTCAAGGCCTTTACCTGTCGTTATCAATTTATATTTGGTAAAAATCCTACTTTTCTTCAACTTGAGCCTGAAAACAGGGACCTGGCTTATACGTGGGGTTGACTTATAACTATACTACAGGAGCTATTCTGGGCAAGACCCGGAAGCTGGTTGCGCATTGGCAAGTCCCTACATTTGCCTGCAGTCCCGCTGCATGCATGGGGGAACCCACCACAAAGATTGGGGTCAGGGCACAGAATGGAAATGTAAACGACGGGAGTCTAAATGGTGACAGTCGGAGACTGCTCCCTTTCATCACCATGTTCTTTGCTGGGGAGGCCAGCCTGCATGGCCCGGGTGCCACACGTGGCATGGGAGGTCTCTCTGTGCAACACGTGACAGATGAGGAGGGGGCAGGGAGCAGAGCAGCAGATCAGGCAGCGGCAGAAAACAGAGCAGCAGATCTAGCAGGAGCAGGGGATCAGCGTGGTGCTGGGGGAGGGCACAGGGCTAAAAAGGATGTAGGAGAAGCTGCCCCTGCTGCTCTCAACCAGGCTCACACTCTCTAGCTCTGCCAACGCCTCCACGCGGGGCTGCTGGAGGGCATGAGAAGTGCAGGGCAGAGCCAGCTGCGGGGCAGCAGAGGAGGGGAGCCCCGCAGCCAGGCGCAGGGCAAGGCAGGAGGCAGGTCGCGGGCACCCACCCGAGGCGCCAGCTCTCACAGGCTTCACCGCGTGCTCTACCCTCGCCCCGGCCCCGGGAGGCTCTGGGCGCAGGGCAATACCAAACAGGGGGGACGGGACGGAGCAGCACCCTCCGACTCACGGGGCAGCCCAGGCAAGGGGCGGGGAGCGCAGGGCGGGGAGGCCGAGCGCGCGCGGCGGTACCGTACCGCAGTCCCGGCGCCGCG